CCTTGTCCTGTCCAATGTGTCTCACTAATTCCCATGATTTCAATACCTCTCTTCTTCATCTCTCTTGATGTCTGTGCTATGTTTCCACTCTGGTATAGCGTTCTCACGTTCCAGTTCCTATCTTCACGACGTCCTTTATTTAACAATAATTTTATCTTCCAAATATTTTCTCAGTTCTCGAAAGTTTGACTTCGAGCAGTTTTTTGTAGCTCTCAAACGGTTAGAAGGAGCGTGAGGACCACAGGAAATAAAACTTATAAACCTGTATCCTAGAGTACAAATTTCGTGACATACATGATTTGTATTTGTTTCTCGTGATATTTGCAATCAGTTGGGTGTTAAGTTGGGCAATGCAGCAATGTGGTTAGCAATCTGTGAGAACGTAGAAGCTAAAGACATATGGGAATAGAGAACACAAGATCGGAGTGTGCTCTTTTAGTTCTGATTTGGAAAATTCCAACATGGTTTACATTGCGTGATTAGAAGACAAACCCCTTACCTGTGTTGAGATTCATCTTCATTTGCTTTTCATACAGTCCGACGATTAGCAATATTCCAGTAGTTAAAACAGCCAAAAGAAAAAATAGTTTCTTCGCTGTCATCGCTACCAACAACAATTCGATCTGGCCAGAATTAAATAATTTTAGGGAGCTTAAGCAACCAAGACGACGACCGGAGGACGACGAGCTGAAGTAACGTGAACGTCACTGCGCAAGCGCGAACCAAGAATTCTGTGGTGCGACTTTGAGATTTTCAAGTGCGCTTGGGCCAAGTGCTTACTTGAAACTAGCATAGCTTCTAATGTGAAGTCAAGTATTTTTAACTCCTGCCGTGCGTAAATTATTATAAACTAGACGCTTTGCTGCGTGTACCCAGGCAGTCGTTATACTGAGAAGCACTAGCTATATTGCAATTGAGCTAAATGTTCTACATTTGAAGTTGTACGAAATTCAATTGAATCGATGTGCTTAAGCTCTTCTGCTTTTGATTGCATTTCTTGTCATCGATTAATAGCTTATTACACGTTTGCAGGTCTTTAGGGCGTGAAAAGAGTCAAGGTCTTTCTATCAGCCTATAAACGTTTCAGTCTATTTTCCTCAGCCTTTGACGTTGTTATTTACGTTTCTCAAGC